TTACTTATGTAATTACAGTATTTACAAGTATATTTACAGCACAATACTACATATCAGTACAAACTGATGGCCAATCAGTGACCTCATGAAGGCGGCGTCAACTTCAGGTCTTGCAATATTGGGAAGCATTGTACTTTGTGAGTCTTTGATGTGAATCAGGCCTGAGACAGAAGTTCTCCTTAACACTTCAGAACCACTCTCAGAGGAAAAGGAAAGTGGAACATTCTGTTATTGTTGACAACCAAACCATCAAAAGTTATCCAGTAGCCCACTAGTCAATCAGTGGTTAATATTACCCAGAGGAGCATCACTTAGAACTTGGAGGCTGTGTTGATTCCATCTTTGGGAGTGTTATGTAGAGTTATCTTACAAGCCATGAGCTAGTACGGTGTCTTCACAATATATAATGCCAGTTTGTGTCTTGGCGTCTCTCGGTGATACCGTTTGAAGAACCCAGAGATTGCCTTTGGGAGACAAAATGGCTGCTATGTGAAGTACATATCAGTACAGTAGGAAACAGGCCGTCCTCCAGCTCGAGGGCATGTTCTGTCCCCTGGTTCAAGAGTCTGTAGTCCAACTAAAGAGGCATCAAAGTAAAGTTAGCCACTGTTGCAAAGACTGGCATGCACTCATGGCATACTACAAATGTATTTTTCCCACACCCTCTGTGTAATCCAAAATGCCGGGTCTTAATTAAAGTAGCACGGGTGTTAACCAAAGCTGGAGTGAGGAAGCCTTTTTAAGTCTGTTTAGCCTGGAGGCTTCGGGTCTTTGAGAGAGAACAAGTGGGCGTTCGTTTGTTCATCAAGCTTTGTTATGCAGGTTTTTTTCTTTCACTCGCCAAAGGAAAGGCGCGCTGAACTTATGATCGTCAACACATTTTAGAAGCCTCACCCCTTTTAAACTTGCGACGAGACTAATTATGAATAAGCGTTTGTGTGTGTGTTAACAAGAGATAGAGGATGGTGTGTGTGCACATTTGTCCGAATGGGTGTGCGTATATAGTGTGTGAAGCATCGTGTTACTTCTGAAGTTAAGTTCTGAAGATATTTCTCAATACCAATCAATAAGTGGTTTTCTGTAAATGTTATTTATGCATGTGCTCACTTTACATTTTGGTGAATATCCTTACTTGTCATCTGTCAATATCTTACTCAAAGTGTAAGCACTTACCTTTCCCATCTTGAGTACCACATTGTCACTCTGGAGGGTCATATCTGACATTTACCCTCTATTCTCTCCTATCTTCCTTCTTTTGTTTGCCGTCTTTGTTTTGTTTGGAACAAAGGCAGGTATATTTTCTACCGTCCACAAAAACAAGCAGCCACAAACAAGAAAATGGCCCTTTCCCGCTATCGTGCTAGAGCCACGCCTACCCATACCCAACACACACTTCTTTCACCAAGCCTTTAAATTGAATTCCTTATTTGATATCACTGGCAATAAATCACTATGGTAATGCCTCCTCATTTGATTTGGGGGGGATCTGATTATGCCTTATTGCAGAGTCATTTGAGCTGAGCTAAATTATTAATCACCATCAGCCTATTGTTTTTCTATATTGATAGTGTTAGTGTTATGTGTTAATTGAAATCATTCAAACCTGGGGAGTGACAGCGTGGTTTGTATGCATGATGGCCTTCTTGACAGCCTTTCATAAAGCACTCCGTCGTCTCTTCAATGACAAATCGTTTTTTAGCCATGCTGTAGGTATAGTTATGCTGAGCGGGTCGGTCCACCAGCTTGGTTTGGACTGAAATGTCTAAACAATTAATGGATGAATTGGCATGAAGTTTGGGACAGATATCTATGCTCACTAGATGATGAAGCCTAATGTCTTTAGTGATCACATTTGCTTCTAACACCGTTAAAAACAGTTGTCCACCATATGCAAGATTGCACAGACATAAATGGCTCTAAATGGTGTTCCGCTGACCTCCTCTTGTATTGTCATTGGGTATACCACATTTATGTCTACCTCAGGGTGAATTAATGTTCATCTCTGGTGACATCAGCAGTTACAACTTTTTACCAAACACATTACTTGCTAAATATCAGCATGTTAGCGGTGTCATTGTAATGTCACATGTTGGAATGCTAATGGAAGTTACATTTCACTCTTAACCAGAGACATTAGGTTTTAAGTCTTTCATCAAGAGAAATGGTGCATGTATTCTCTATAGGCATCACCCTAACATCACGTGCTGAGCGAATCGGTGCTAGACATTGCTTATTTTGAGGGAGGAGATTGAAACGCATTGGTCCCGATTGGCCCTTCTAAAAAGAAGGACAAGCAAAGTGTGGCTCAGTTTGGGAATGCCCTGTTGTAGAAACTCATGTGATAACGGCACAATGGCTAAAGCATGCTACGCCAGGTCTATGGAAGAACGCTATTTGACGAAATTTCCACTAATTAAAAAAAATATCCGATACATCTGATTATTCTTATGATTAACATGTTGAACACAGCTCACTTTCTAAATGTTCTGGCACTTTGTTCATCAGGGGGTCAGAGCTCAGGTTCAACTATAAGAGATGACCGAGAAGCAGAGACATCCGTCATTATCTGTCTCAAGGTTGCTCACGATCACATACCATCTTTAATGGAGACTGACCCTGTGGCCCTCTGGTAACGGCAGATCGCCTCTCAAAACACAGAGACCGCCCGCTGTCTACTCTAATTACAGCTCCTGTATTTCTGTATGCCTGTAATGCTAGGTTAAGATCGGTATGGTTCAAGACCTAAAATTATAGGCTGGTGTAAGATAATATCAGACCATAAAGCTATGCGTAGCGGCATGCTGCATCGTTAGGCATAAGGCCTGAGCTAAAGTTCACTTTTCCAACTTTCTGGTGTTTTTTTCCCTTTGGCCCCTTGTGGTGCCTCTCTGCAGTTCCCTTGGCCCTCAGCTCTCGTCTACTCATCCTCTGCTCTCCACTCTGCCACCCACTGCTCTCTTTTTCTCCATCCAACTCTTTTCGGCCAGAGTTTCTGCTTCTTTTTTTCTTCTTCCTTTTTTCTTCTTCCTTCCACTATGTCCAACTTTGACTTATGGGCTTTTTCGCTACATGTTGGCCAGATTTTGTATCCATCCATATCCTGCCTGTCTGCCGTTTGAAACTCCTTATCCGTTTGTGTCCTATCTCAACAGTTCTCACTTTGCCTCTTCGCGTCCAATCCAAATCTCACACAGATATTCAGATGAACAGCTAGCACACCATTCTTCTTGTGTGTGTGTGTGTGTGTGTGTGTGTGTGTGTGTGTGTGTGTGTGTGTGTGTGTGTGTGTGTGTGTGTGTGTGTGTGTGTGTGTGTGTGTGTGTGTGTGTGTGTGTGTGGTGTGTGTGTGTGTGTGTGTGTGTGTGTGTGTGTGTGTGTGGTGTGTGTGTGTGTGTGTGTGTGTGTGTGTGTGTGTGTGTGTGTGTGTGTGTGTGTGTGTGTGTGTGTGTGTGTGTATCCATCCCGGCTGCCTCCTCGTTTTCAGCTTCATTTCCCTCCCTAATGAAGATTCAGAGGCAGCGCTGCTACTGGCAGAGGGGAGGAATGAGGAAGGAGCTATAGGGGAGGAAGCCATGACAGCAGGAAGAAAAGAAGGCATAAATGAGGGTCAGAGGGAGAGGAGGAAGATGGAAGGGAGGAAAAGTAGGCAGAATTCTGAAGCAGAGAGAAGCAGGCAAGAAAAAAAAGGAGGAAGGGAAGGAGGGAAGATGAATGGGGGAGAGAGGACAGCTACAAGAGGAAAAGGGCTGATGAGTTTTGTGATAAAGAAGACTAGAGAGGAAGTAGCTCTCTCTCTTCCTCTCTTCCTCTCTCCCCTAATTAGCTCCCTGGCTGTGATGAATGGCGCAGCACTTAGGACCCAATCGGCAAGCCGACCTTGTCATGTGTGTTGATGGGGTGGGGTGACTCTACCTCCCCACCTCTGTCCCCCCCTTACCTATTGTACCACCTCCTGTGGAAGCAGATGCTGCTAATATCGAGGTGTGTGTGTGTGTGTGTGTGTGTGTGTGTGTGTGGTGTGTGTGGGGTGTGTGTGTGTGTGTGTGTGTGTGTGTGTGTGTGTGTGTGTGTGTGTGTGTGTGTGTGTGTGTGTGTGTGTGTGTGTGTGTGTGGTGTGTGTGTGTGTGTGTGTGTGTGTGTGTGTGTGTGTGTGTGTGTGTGTGTGTGTGTGTGTGTGTGTGTGTGTGGTGTGTGTGTGTGTGTGTGTGGTGTGTGTGTGTGTGTGTGTGTGTGTGTGTGTGTGTGTGTGTGTGTGTGTGTGTGTGTGTGTGTGTGTGTGTGTGTGTGTGTGTGTGTGTGTGTGTGTGTGTTGTCCTCCCGTCTCGATGGCTGGCAGTTCCACACATAGGTGGAAACACTCTCTTCCAACAGCTTCATTTCATACGTAGGGACTTTTGTTTGGCAGTAATAGCTGTCACATTGTTAGATCACATATAATAATTAGTAAGATGATGAAACATCCCTTTATTTTCGTATCTAAATTATCCGCTGTAAACTTGCATTTTTTTTTTTTTTTTTTTACATTGTCTTTTAGGATTTCCTGCTTTTTCCTAATTGCATAACTCTTCCACTGAGAATTCCCTCTGTTCAAATATGTTCCATGTTGTAGTTTTCCCATCTGGGATTTGACATAAAAAAGCTCTGATTCAAATATGAAGTATAAATAAAGATCAAGTATCTGTCAATTTAGTTGATATGCGTAATTATGAATACTACATTTTACCCAGGTGTGATAAACAAGAATTATCCTTTGCTTACAAGTTGTTGAAACATTCGTCCTTCTGTGAAAAAATGTGTCCGATTGATGCATTTGAATTCTTGAAACAAGCTGTTCTTTTTCCCTGAGTGATACCTTGTTAGTTAGAGATGCGTCCTACTGAGTGTGTTTGTGATTATGATAGCTGGAACCCCGTGGATATAGCCGCAGGTCTTCCTCTGTGCTTCCATCCGTCAGTCATGGTGTGTGTCTCAGATCCAGTGTGTCTCTTCTCCCCCTGCAGAGCAGCAAGAACTGGCGGGCCGCGGTAGATCTGACGGGCCGGCTGCTGACAGCTCATGGTCAGGGGTACGGGAAGGCCGGCCAGCAGAGCTCCCACACCACCGACTCACTGCAGGTAAGACGCCAGCCGCTGTCTCCTCATCAATCCCTCCATTCAGCTGTCCGTCTCTCAGAGCGTTGGTGGGTGGAAGACAGTGACGCCAAGGCACATCCTGTTCTACTTATTAATGTAATAATTCCCCAAAAGCACTTGAAATGAAATAGAATTTGCAATAATAATAATAATAAATTATTAAAATAAAATGTATATAGCACTTTTCATACAACACATGCAGCTCAAAGTGCTTTGAGGGATTGCTAATAAACAGCTCATCTAAAAAGATGTCTTTAGCTGGTGTTTAAAAATGAAATGTTCTCACTGATAAAGTATTTCACTAATGATTGAATACCCTCTTATCTTGTTATGAGAGTTCATTCCTTTGTTTTGTTTCCAAACTGATGATATCAATTAGATTTAAAGGTGGGGTAGGTAAGTTTGAGAAACCGGCTCGAGATACACTTTTTGTTATATTACATGGAATGCTCTTAACATCCCGATAGCAATGAATATCTTAAGTGCTTTGACTTATGAAATGAATGAAATAAAAAAAATGTCATCTGTGGAAGCCGTAATACTGTAAAAAGTAGGACAGACAGGGCGGCAATCCAATCCGTTTAGCCGGGCCGGCTAAACGGATTGGATTGCCGCCCTGTCTGTCAGCCTTCCATCTCGTGCATGCACAAATGTATCTCGTGCCCTCATTGGGCGTGCCGTCATTGGGCGTGCATTGCAGCAGTACTTCAATGACTCGCCAGCAACAGGCGGCCACTTTCACCATGGCAGAGTTAGGTTCAACATCATCTACTGGTGGCAAAAGAAATAATGTAACAGAGCAAATTAGGAACAAAAACAAAGTGGAAACTAGGAGAATTCAAACCAGAGTCAATATCGGGGTTGCTTTTCCACGATGGCGACTACTGATGGAACACACCTATGGGGGTTATTCCCTATCTTTATTCAAGAGCGTGGTATTTAAATTTGAGAGCATACTTTATGTATTTATTTCCCTCAAACCCTGTCCTCGCACTCAAATAGTGCCTGCTTGCACTTAGATTTGCTCTGCTTCTGCTCAAACTGTACGCTTACACTCAGATATATTGCTGCTTACAGATTTTTTCTGCTCTCAGATTTATTCTGTGCGCGCTCGAAACTTTTGTGCAACAATCCTGTCAAAATCCCTCAACCAATAGGAGGCCAGTAGTGGAGTGCACCAGCTGGGCGTAAAAAAGTAGGGCTTAACTCTAACGTCGGGCTTAGCTACGTCCGACGTAGTGATTCGAATTTACACCGAGTGCACCAAGCCTGACTAGTCTCGGGCGTAGCTGCGCCTGGTCTTAAGATGCGCGTCCACGTGAATACACGCGAAACAGTAATTGTTGCCAAGCAACGCCATTTTACAGACTCAGAGGACCACAGAGAAGAGGGAATTCCCACACCCACAGCGTCAGCGATGACTCAAGGGGAATCCCAAATGGCCACACCCCGAAAGAGAAAGAGGGATTTGTCAGAGCTACAGCGGGAACTGACGGAGAAAGAAATCGTTCGTGTGGAGGTGGAGACCGTCAAATTGAGAGCGGAACACGAAAAAATTGAGCTGGAGAAGGAGAAATTGAAACTCTTCTTAATGCCCTTTCATTGTTAAACATGTAAAGAAGACGCCCTGCCATCGTTAATATCCTTCTTGCCTGTTTTACGTTTTTATGGATGGATACTAGTCTGTCTTTCCGATTTACGCCTGCTCCATACTAGGCGTAAAAGTTACACCCGGGCGCAACGCATACAGGGCTTAAGTCTAAGTGGTGCACTAGTCATAACTTTAGTTTGGTCTTAACCTTCGGTTCTACGTCGGACGTAGAGTTACGCCCAGCTGGTGCACTCCACTCCAGGTGTCCTTGCAGGTGCGTTCGCTTTACTTATTACAGCGTCCCGTAAGGGCGGTTACTCTTTGGTTTGTCTTTGGTGCAATGACAGGGTTTGAGTGAAGGAAATCAATAAAGTATGCTCTCAAATTTAAAGTTGAAATCTGACGCCGTGGTCGCTCTTTTTCTCTTGGACATGTAATTATCTGTTTGTATGGTTTACAAAAACCCCTGAACTATATAGCCAACCTAAGTCATGTGCGCGTTCATGTGTGTTGGAGGAGGTGCTCTGTAAGGAAGTCTGAAGGAAGGGGCGGATTCTTTTCGGCTGTGTACTTTCAAATTTTAGTGCACTCGAGCCGGTTTCTGAAACTTACCTACCCCACCTTTAAGGAGGGCTATGATGAATTTAGTTTTTGTGTCGCTAGTTTTTTTGTGTTGTCCCTTTTCGTCAGTGTGTTGCTGTTGGCACATTTTTGAAAGCCCTTGTTCTTGGAGCTCTATGCAGAAGATGGATGGTTGCATGCGCTCATTAAGAAGGCCACCGCTGTGGAAGGCTATGTGCACGAGACTTTCAGTTAATCGACCGTGTTGTTGCCTCGTGCTCTGGGCTCGCAATTAACGATGTCCCGATGTCCCGGGGACCATAAAAATTCCTACTGGGACACAAATCTATTTTGTCTGGGACTATTTCGGGACAGTGAAAAAAAAATTAAAATTAAACTTCAAAATGGGTGCTATTTGCAAAGTCATTGGGCTGTCAAAACATAGAATGCATTCTACGTCATCCACTCTGCTGCTGACTGCTGCTAGACTCGCGCCAATGCAACGGTCACGACAGTTAAAAAAAGAAGAAAGAAATGCTGAGGTGGTTGAATAAACAGCCCCCTGATGCAAGTCCCAATTCTGCCGAATCCCGAAACGAAAACATCCCAAGTCCTGGTCATGATGCATCGTCTTCCACTGTGGTAAGTTAGTTGTCTTAAGTGTCAATGTTAGCTAGCGCTAACTAACGCTAGCAACTGAAGTGTCCCTTACAATGCATACAAACGTCCTAAAATGCGGTGTCATGTTCTTTTGAAGTTTGTGAAAATGATGTGAAATACAGTTGATCAGAATAAGAGGTGTAGCCGATCATTTTTGTATTTTCTTTGTCAGCCAGTCAGTGACCAGGCTAGAATCTTTAGCTGCAAAAACGTAAGGCATTTAGCTAATCATTTAGCTTTTCATCTTTTTTTAGTGTTTTTGGGTCAAGAACGTCAGTCAGATTGGGTGACGATTAGAAAAGGGGTCGCAAGGTAATTTTAGTTTGTCAATCACAGGGCTCGACATTAACAACTGCCCGATGGCCCGGGGCCATCTAGTATTTAGCTCGGGCAATGAAGCCTCACCTGCTGGTTGCCCGATCTGGCAATCTATTATGCCAGTATCATGCAGCTTGCGGATCCAGTAATGAGTGACCCGACAGTAAAACTAAACATATCTATAACTAGTTTAGGTAGTTTGAGAGGTAATTAAAATAGCTACCGGGTGAGGCCGCAAAGTATAGCGCAGCATTATGCATTTGTTTACATGCCCACCGGAACCCAGAGGCATTACCAACAGATTAACGCACAATCAACCCATCCAGGACATCTCTTTCTCCACATTAAGTGTTAGACATTAGAATTGACTATTATTGTATGTCACATACTCTTCTTGTCTGTCACATACTCTTCTTGTCTGTCACATAAGTGGCGCAACTGAAGCGGTATTGCACTAAAGGGAAATTATTTTGACCGAAGAGATTTAGATTTGCAGGCTAACGGGAACTCTGAAGTCGCCATTTTGTGTGCTTCGCGGATGCGCTCGGCTCCTCTCGACTGCTGCTCGGGTCTGCTCGGTCAGCTTCCGGATAAGGAGGCATTCGTTCGACCAACTTACAGTAGATAACATTACAAACATTTTTAACAGGGGCCATAATAGTGTAAATAACGTTTGTTTTGGCAGTTATAACTGAATGTAATGTTTTCTACTTTTTTACATCTGGGAAGGCATTTGCCTTCATCAGATGGAACGTGTCGAGTGAATGAGTGAGAGCAAGATGATTGACATTCATGAATGAAAATAGAAGATCAATTTATATTCCTATAGTACTACTGACTTGTGTGGATAACTTGTAATTAGAACTGAAAACAGATACATTTATTAAACTGTATTATGGAACTTCTGTTTTTTTATTATCATTCATACCACTTTTATTGCCAGATAGAGGGTTCCGATCATAAAACACAGAGACCATACAGCCATACCATATTGAATTGAAAAATACAAATCAGAATTCTTCAATGTTGACATGACAATGATAAATTAGTCTGGATATTGAGAAACAATCGAAAAACATGTCTTAAAACAACTCTCTTCCCTTCTACTTTAGGAGAGGCAACAGATCAGACTAATATTCATATGTTTAAAAGAATAAGTATTTTAAACTTACATGGTGGACCAGAGTCTATGGTGTGATGATTAAGTGACAAAAAAGTATCAAATTATATGTATTCTGCATAATTGGGGGGGCGACGATACAAATTTAAATTTGGGACACTGCTGGTTATATCCGGGACAATACAAAGTAGAATTCGGGACAGTTGTGGGACACTGAGGAAAAAAGTTAATTTCGAGCCCTGCTCGTGCTGCATATTACTGCTTGTTTGCGTTCCTAAACATCCTGGCACCATTTTTAAACCCTGGGTTTTAAATGTGTGGTCCATCTTTTTTTTTTAATGTATTTTATTATTGTTACTAATAGCAATATGCAAAAATGAAGACTATTGGGCATTGCTGTTAACCTTGTACCACCCACTGTTCTTCCCACAGGACATTTACACTGTGCTGAACGTTCACAGACTGCACGATACAAAGTTACATAAACATGCACAAAGTTACTTTAGACACTTGTATACAGATGCATGGCAGAGGATACAACCGAAACCAGAAACGTTTTTTATATCTACCTTCAAAGCCATTGCAATAAACAGACAAATCATTGAAATGTAATCTTTAAATCCATCACAAAGGTCTAAAATGATCAAATCATTTTCATTAAGGTGTACAAACCCTGTAAAGGGAGTGGATGTTTGAGAGTCAAAGTATCATCCTTCTGAACCCATGTTGAATTATTATTTTTTAAAGCGTGAATGCAGATCGCACTATTTAAAGAGGACATATTATGCTCATTGTCACGATTATATTTGTATGTTGTGCTTCTACTGTGACATGTTTACATGCTTTAACCTCTTAAGCCCTGAGCCTGTTTTTCAGGTTTCAGGCTCGAAAATGCCACTAACACAACAAAGACTATATCTTCACTTCTAAAAGGGGTAAATTAATCATCTTTTCTCTCAAAGCAAGGTTACATCTGTGAGTTGGATGTAGAAGTGTCAGAATCAATATAGATATTTTTATTTTAAAGTAAATTCAGATGGAACATAGTAAAAACATGTAAATTCTAATGTCCGCCTAAAAAAAAAAACATTACTTATAGTGAAAACCACCCTTGAATGATGGGCTAGTAGACTAAAAGCTTTAGGAATCCAAACTATAACATATAATAAGTACCCTGTATCAAGATTGATGCAAAACAAGTGAAATTTGACCTTTTTAGAGAGGTTTAGAACAATAAAGTCCAAGCGGACCTCTGGGTAATTTGGGAACCATCAGTTCCATTTGAACTTTTTCACTGTAAAAATCATTTTATTACTTTGAATTATCACTATAGGTATTCATTCCATCCAAATACAACTGTTGTGAAAAAATAAATAAAACATAGGCCTACTCTGTTACCCTCTTAGGCCCCACGGACCCGAAATCGCGTCATTTGCAGGAAACAACGTCTAAGGAACCTTAATATTTAATAAACTATGAATATTTTATATCTATATAACGGGTAAAAAACTAATTTAACTGATATTTTTCATTAATTTTTTCAAAAAAAACACACAATGCTAACAGTGAGCCTCTGAATTAGCCCCGAGCGAAAAATGCTAACCTATTACTGCACCGAAAATCACTCCTAGCTCCCTTATTACTTATCCTAGCTGCACATCCAACATATCGTTTATGATCGTAAAGACAAATAATCTAACGGTGCCCACCTCAACACTGAAAGATACAAACTCGCGAGGTTATCAACAAAAACGTACATCAAAACAAGTGCTAAGTACTAAGTACTAACATGCGCTAGGCTAAAAATGACTTACCTTCCTCGTTGTCTGGTCTAAACTGGTCTTCAATGGCATTAAAACGATAAAAACGATGATGTAGTTAATCCATAGATTAATATCCAATGGTGCTGTGTCCCCTTTGAAATGTTCTGATAATCTATAAGCAATAAAACTGCAATTCCGTTATCTGCTGTCCGCTCTGTGCTCTGTGCGCTCTGGGTCCTGCTGCATTTCCTGCTTCGTTACGTTGTAAACAATAAATGAAGTCGGCTGCGTAATGTTGTTACGCTGACTGGCATTCTTTATACTTTATGCAGGACCATATCTCTAGAACCCATTGGTCGATTCGTGTGATTTACACCTTTTTCTTAACCATTACATCCAATAGAATCGATGGGCAGTTCCCAAATCTACGTAAACATTACCATAGCGGACATAATAGAGAAGCAAACGAAGCATATCTGAAAGTGCAAGCCTGGACGGCAAAACTTTATACCCAGTATATTGCCATAAATATGATGATGGATTTTCAGTAAAAATTTCTACGTGACACAAAGACATTGGATTAACCTTGAGCGGTGTTTTTATTCCGTTGAACACAACTTTTGATCACAAATCAAAAAAGGTAAGACGTAATTATTGTAATATTTTTGAAACCGGATGTTGTTTACTTTCTCTTTTCTGGCTGATAGCTCCAGGAATTCGAGGTCGTACAGTGATGACATTACATGTGTGGAATCTGTGGAGTCTCAGCTTTAAATCGTATAACTTGTTTGTGCAGTTAAGATAGTAATAAGGGCATTTCTACCGTGAGTTCGTTAGCATTAGTTAGCATTTTTTCGCTCAATGCTAATTCAAAGGCTTGGTATTACTCTTGTGTTTTTTTTAGCTAAAAATTGTTCTTATTGTCAGTTAGCGGAGTTTCTTACCTTTTAAAAGGGTATGAAACATTAATAGTTTCATAAATGTTAAGAAGCCCTGAGACATAGTCTCGAAAAAAAACTGTGGGAGGGGTCCACTGGGGGGACCTTCGGGCTTAAGAAGTTAAAGGTCACATATAATGTAAAATCCCCTTTTTCATGTCTTTTATACATAAATCTGTGTTAAGAGATTCGGAAACCCTTTAGCATTTAAAGCTTCAGACACTTTTGAAACAGGGCTGAAACAGAGGGGTTAACGGCATGCTATAATGCATGATTTAATGTTCACAAAGTGCATTATTGTACTATATATTTTACTCTGATTGGTTAGCTGGCTGGCTCAGGTCAACCTGGATATGTTTCGAAAAATGTCCGGCCCCTTAGCCTAGCGCGGGGGGGGGGGGGGCACTATGTGGGAGACAAACCTTGGGATTTTAGCCTATGCAGACTATTTACATGCACATTAACCTATATAACACACTACAGGAAAGGGATTATAGGGTGTACAATCCCTGGGGGCTCCAATGCTGCTCAGGAGCTTCTGGATCCTTCCTTCATGGTGTCTGGCTCGGAAGTAGTCCATCCCCAACTGCATCACATCAGGACACAGCTTCATGGGCCTGGGCTTCTGTCCAGGTGCATATGGCTGGGTGCTCTCCGAGGCTCAAGACCATTTTCACAACATGAACCTGGAACAGCCTGCACCCTCCTCCAGATGTGTAGAAGTTTATTAATGTAATTCACATGTGAAATAGCCTCGGTCATTATTCTTGAATAACCCAATGTAAGCGTCCTTATCCAGGTAAAAGAAAATGAATGCTGGATCTTATATCATCAGATTTTCTTGTCTTAATTATCAGTATTTCCCTTGAAAAAAACCCCATCAAAATATATTGGTTTGGTTCTAAAAGAAAACATTGCATCAGGATTGCAACCCCATCATATAATTGTAATAATGTAAGAAACACAGATGATTTAATTAATACTGCAACAATGTAAAACCCAGTAATGTAATGACTTTATTAAAAACGTTATGAGGGTTAAATGAAAGTCAAGACATTGTATTAAATGATTGAGCATGTTAATCATAATTGGATTTTGACCAAATTAACTGGAAAATATGAACAATTTAAGGAAGAATTTAGGAAATTTGATTCGAAAGACGTATGCGTCCTTTCTACTGCATGCTACAGGTGCAGTGCACTACTCTACTCACGCTTGGGAATAGGTACATTTCCAGATTTCATTTTCTAATTCATATAGTACCCTGTACTGCCATGACACTTTCAATCATGCAGAGCTTTCTCCTCGGGTTCTTTTATCTTTAACCAATAAGAGGATGTTCTTCATTTCTTAAATTGACCAAAGCTGACTTTTTTCTATTTTCAATCATCTAAGAGCAACATAGTGTTGAGGAGGAAAACGCAACTTCTCAAATCATGACGGAGTGCAGCCAAAAGCGGGTTTTTCTTTGATTCAGATACTCATACAGGTCAACAATACACAATCCTGCCTCTCTGTGTTCAGATCTACCTTTATAGACTTCACTTTAGCTTATATTCCTGTCCTAGTTCTTAATATTGTGTCTTATGATATCAGGGTCACAGTGATATGTTCCTGCTATAGTCATACATATTATTTCTGTTGGGCAATGTGTAACGTAACCCATATACCTTCAACAGTACAGGATGCTAATATCATTCTTCTACATATTGGCGAACTAGCTGGGAGGGAATTCAATTGTACTTTAAATATTTGATTAATGTCTTATTCACTTAACAGAGGGGTGTGTGTTTGTGTATTCCAGCTGTGGTTTGTGCGGCTCTCCCTCCTGACCAAGCTGAACCTCTTCCAAAACGCTGAGCTGGAGATTGAGCCCTTCGGCAACCTGGACCAACCAGACCTCTTCTATGAGTACTACCCCACTGTTTACCCTGGGAGGAGAGGTACATACACACACACACAGCTTGTATAAAACCAAACCCAGCCTCTGTTCTTTGGGATAATAATTCTTGGTCTTTAATGTAGGAGAAGAACTCTAGGTGTTAATCACAGGAACTTTTATCCACAAACGTAACATTGTAAAAGAATGCATCGTTTCCATCTCTTTTCATATTTCCTCCTTCCAAAAGCCGCTGTTTGAATTCTGTGTGAAAGCTGACTCAAGGTTGAATAGTGGTATTCATGATAGTGCCGAAAAGCTGTTCGGAAACTCTTATCTGTGAGCTTTGAATGTGTTATTAGCCTGCTCTCCAAAAGGATTTTTATTAAATATTCAAAGGAAAGTTTCTGCCAGGAGCTTGATATTAGACTGTATCGTCGTCGAAGCTCCAACAACTGCTTGTCTCCAGCAGTTCTTTGGTTTTGTTTTTCCTCTTTTACACTGCATGAATTGCTCTCTAATGTATTCCCATTACTTTGGATCTGCTTCGCCCCTCGGGCTACCACAGTGAAGGCAGTAGCGGAGACACAGCTGCACACACACACACTCGACACTTGACGCTACACCGCACACACAGCCTTCTAAAAGAGAGCACCGATTGACTTTCCGTTGCTCAATTTAAACGCTTTGTGCCCTGCTAGGTGCTCGCAGACAAACTGGCACGCGTTGTTTAGCCTGGCATCCGAAGTCGAACATTTCTCCGGCCCAGCGCTTGTATCGACTATCTATTACCACACTCTTTGAGGCTCTAAAGAGTTGGCTGCCCATGTATCACTATCTGTACAAATTCAGATCAACGTGGCGCTTGAGAAGGAATCAATGTTTGTCACTTATTAATTTGTTTGCCAAATGAAAAGTTGAGTCCTGGATGCTGCGAGCCTGGCAAGTGGCTATTCATGAATGTCCTTTTCCAGCCTGTATCTTCCTACTCTACTTGAATCCTTTTCACAGGTAGAATAAAATGAACTTTTGGTCAATGCTAACCTTTCTAGGTTATTTTACGGAGAGCCTTTTTTTTCAGCTCTATAGCTGGTCTAATCAAATAAAAATGTATTAATGTATTTATAAATGATCATTTTAAAAACAATGAAGAAAACACTCAAAGACACTTTAAAATACATGTCAAAATTCAATAATAAATCATAAAAACAATACGCTTAGAATATAAAACACTATATACATGACACAATAAATAATACATTTAAAAATACAAAAAGCAGTTTTTTGTCAGGCCCATAAAAAGATGAACATGCATACTAGACTGGTGAGGAAAATATATTATTTATTTTTTAATTTAGATACATTTTACACAGTTCTCTTTACCAACAGTGGCTTAATAATATGTAGGTAACTTGACGGAGAACAATTTGACATTAAAAAAAAAACTTTGTATCAACTTCCAAAGAAATATTTAAATCAATGAAACCTGGTACAAAGTTTGATCATAAATGCTGATGTGATAGGAACTGTTTGTACCTCGTCATGTATATTGCTTTATAGCGCCACTTTTAATCATAGAATGGGAGGAAATATGTAGGGCAACAAACCTTTTTTCATAACAAGACGATTTTACTATGACGATATCAATATGAAATATTGTTGTCAGAAAAGACGAGACTAAAATGTAGTTTTAAAATTGCTCCAACTTTTGTAGTTGTTGTCGACAAATGACTCGAGTCACTAGAACTATTGAGCATGTCTGTCTAAAGAATAGACTACATCTAAAATAGTTGCCAGAATTAACAAAGCTTAACACGGTATCTTTTATTTGAGTTTTTATGGGTCTGCTCAATGATTCCCTGGGTTGTTTTCCATCTTAGTCACGAACAGTTAACTTTGACACTAAAGGTATTAAAAGTCTTAATTTTAAGCTGATGAAACTTTCTGACACCCAAGAGAGAATGAGCTGTCCACTCAGCACTAAAATATGACATGGTAACAGGATGCAGGAATAGAGACACTGGGGTAAATGGTGAATATTTCTGGATATGTGGGATAGACGGCACAGGCAGATTGCTTCTACAGAGATAGAAATGGAGATCCACAGACGGATGAAGATGGACCAGCTAGCTGAGCTTCAGGTTTGATGACAATATCAAAGAGACCCTGATCAAAGCCCAGGAACTCACCTGAATACAGGCTCTTCCTCCGGGGGGGGGGGGGTGTGAATGATGTAGAGGCAGGGAGAGACAGAGGGATGAGGCAGGGAGATGAGTGATGGAGCTGTGCAGCACAGAGAGAGAGATGAGAGGGTTTAATAAGCAGCCATACGTAGCTCAATGCCATCTGTAGGTTCCTGCCTCCAGGGCTGTGTGCTGTGTGTGGGTGGATGGGTTTATATTCTCATCTCGCGCTCTGTGTCTCTCTGCGTCTCTCTCCGCCTTCCTTCTCTTCCCCTCTTCCTCTCCTATGTCCTCATTCTACCTTATTTCCCCCCTTTATTCCTTGCACATTTTCAACCCCTGTGTTCTGCTTTCTTCTTGTCCTTCCCTCCCTCCCTCCCCTCCCCCCCCCCCCCCCCCCTCCCATCCAGGCTCCATGGTGCCGTTCTCCATGCGGCTGCTGCACGCCGAGCTTCCCCAGTACCTGGCCAAGCCCCAAGAGGCTCTGGACCGCCTGCACAATCTCAAAACCGTCTGCCTCGCTGTTAGTAGACACACACACGCGGGCACGGAAACAGCCTCTGGATGAACATAAAAATATGCATACTCTGTAGCATTCACACAATAAAACAACACAGAAAAAGCACGTACAAAGCCTTAAGCCCACCTGTGTAAACAGCTAAATATGGTTTGGATTTTAAAGTCATTAAATATGCAGATTCTAATACAGACATTAAAAAGTTTGAATTCCCTCCGCCCCTGTTAATAGATTCTGGAGAACTTGGAGAAAGGATTGGCTGAGGATGGCAGCATGATCACCCTGACACAGGAGAATAGGCAAGGTAAGTACACACACACATGCACACACGTACACACACGCACACAGCCAGTTGGATACAGACCTGGCCTCAGTCCCAGACTGCATCACACTGTGGGAGGAGAGTGAGGTCATGGGTAACACACTAGCAGTCTGAGTCGGAGGCACACCTGGTGCAGGACTGCAGCATACCTCAGCCACACATACACACACCACATAAACACAGCGATGCGGTGCTCTAAAAGTGTTTAGCACCTCACTGCTCGGGCACCCGCGCTGAATATCAAATGGTCTCTCCAGCCCTTCACGCCAAACAGATCAACACAGATCAATCCCATCCAATCCACTCACATCTGCAAGTGTGCTGGGGAAATGGGCGCCTGCATCTGAAATCCACCGGTTTTAGGTAGAGACACACCTCCACACGACATGATGTAAATAGACTTCCTCCTCTCTTTTCCACACAGCAAAACATCTTAATGCAGTGAGTCTTATGTTACCAAGCCATGTGATCGCTAATTAAGAAACTTTTCCAAAGGCTTCTTTTTTCTTTCTTTTTTTACAAGCAATTTAATCAGCTAATTCACGGCGATGAACAACAACAAGCCACTTGGTGAAGTTGAGCTAAATGTACCAAGACACTTGCTTATAATTGGGAAAATTGGCAGGGTGACGCGTGTGTGTGTGTGCGCGTGTGTGTGAGGGTGCGTCGGCGCTGGCAGTCCCTCCCCTTCTAAAAGCAGCGTAATAGCTGTGCCCTCTGTCTCTCCTCTCTCTACCCACGCAGACAGTCGACAGTCGACAAGTCAATAACGCGGGGCCTTGCCTTCACACATCAGACCCCTACTGAGTGATTAGCTCTCCTCCCAAGCACACACACACACACACACACACATGTGCAGCGATGAATACTAATAGGCCTGCACACTTACTCTTCCACAGGGTGCACTGTCTGAGGGAAGAAAGCAGAGTGTGCCGCAGTGTCTTCCTCACTACCTCGCCTTAAAATAAACTGGTGTGGGGGGGGGGGAGAAGAGGGGAGGTTTAATGAGAGGGATCAGAGCAATGAATGGAAAAAGGGTGATGTTAGAGGGGCGCCCCAAAAAAAGAAGCAGGTGAAATGAGAACAGGAAGTCGCTGTTTAAGATAGAAACGCTCTTTCTTCTTCTTCTCTCCCTGCTTTTAGGGTCTCTTAAGCTGTGGAGGTCTCGTCTCAGCCGGGTCATGTACTCCATGGCCAACTGCCTGCTGCTGATGAAGGTGTGTGTGTGTGTGTGTGTGTGTGTGTGTGTGTGTGTGTGTGTGTGTGTGTGTGTGTGTGTGTGTGTGTGTGTGTGTGTGTGTGTGTGTGTGTGTGTGTGTGTGTGTGTGGTGTGTGTGTGTGTGTGTGTGTGGTGTGTGTGTGTGTGTGTGTGTTGTGTGTGTGTGTGTGTGTGTGTGTGTGTGTGTGTGTGTGTGTGTGTGTGTGTGTGACGCGGAGATCTCTGATGCCAGGCTGGTGGAGGATTCACAGTGAAATCCCCCCAGACTGACCACTAATTGGATTCTTGGTCAGAGAGGGAGAGAGCAAATAAGAGAGAAAGCGACACGCAGAGAGAGAGAGAGAGAGATTAGGGTGGTGACTTCATCAGAGTTAGAGAGAACCACAGTGCCATCTACTGGTCCAAACTGAGATTACAGTAAAATAAATGTACTGCTAGGCTCAACTTTACTTGCATTTTGCTCACCTCTCCCTACTGTAATAATGATTTTATTTATGTTGTAGCATATTTATAAAAAATCCTACAAACATTATGGTTCTTAAGTAAAAGATCTAAAAAAGGAATCCACTAGTTTCTATTCATCTATTCGTTTCAGGGTCTGTAATTTACGGTGGCCGGCAGGTGCAAACGCGGAACAACGGCCAAAAACACATACATTAGCAGGAAACAACTGCAAATCCTGAAATGAAAAACAAACAAATCCGGAGAACAAATACAACCAAAAAACGCTGCATTTACAGAAATGATGCAAACTAAATACAACACACAAACCCCGAAAACAAACGCAACAAAAAAACGCTGGAAATACCAAAACGATATGCAAAGTCCAAAGCACATACAAAAAAAAAACATTCCGGAAGTGCTCCAGGCCTCTAGGGGGGGCGCTACGTGGAATAGATTGATGTCTGACCAGACATAGAGGGAACGAACAAGAGTGCTGCAAATTGAAGCCGGAGGAAACAAAGTTGATCGAAGTGGAAAAAGTCGATATATAAGAAGGTAAGTTTTGTTTTGATACAAAGAGCGTCATATTTACCCAGCTAGCGTTAGCTTGTTTGGTAAAAGAGCTTGCAAGTCAAGAGACAGCATTGTGCACCTAAATGTAACTCTTGACATCATATAGATATATTATAGGTGCAGAGAGGAGTTGGTTTATTGTGCCCCAATGTAAATCCTAATGTGAGAGTTAAAGGACGGTCAACAATATAATGTACCTTGGTCAGTTTGGATTTATCGTGGCATTTATTCTTAATTAAAGTGAATTTATTTTATTTCAGTCAGTCATTTGTGTGTTGTATGCAGGTGTGGGACATTCCAAATGTTCCAAAAGTGAGCACTCCACGAATGGACAACAGTTTGCAGGTAAAATAAAACATTGTCAACATATTATTTTGTGCCACAAGAAGCAGAATGTTTTAACAGTACAGTAGTTTGAATATATTTGTTGTTTACCTTTATCAGACCTCTCAGGCACTCACAACCAGCGTCTGATCGGGTAACACTAATCCAAAATGTAATTATACCATGTAGGTTTGAATTTGTGAACATGAAATCAATAAATACCTTTGTGTGCACTTATTTCCTGGGTAAAAATAGGATGGAGAACCAACCCCATTCCAGGAAGAGGTCCAGTCTGCCCGGGTCAGAACCACTTCTATAGGTAAACCATGTTGACAGTTGTTTGGTGTGTATCTTTATTTTACATTTGTTTGTTTGTATAGCCTCCAATCACAGTGGGTAACATTGCCAGGAAGCAGAACAATTATACTTTCATACATTTCTAAATGACACCCACAACATCTGACATCTTTAGTGAAGACGATACAAAAAACACCCACAAATATTTTTCAAAGATCAGATATTGTTTGTTGCATCCATTTCAAATGTTTACAAGGATTGTGCAGGAGTATGACAAAAGTGCTGTTTAGAACCCAATGTATTGAAAAAACAGGAAGAGGATCGACATCCTTTTGTAAATATGACTGTCATGCATATATTATGTATTTGAAAATAATTATTCAACTGTCTTCTCACTGCAGCAACGACACAAATGTGTATGCACTTATCATTATTGATAGCCAGTCTGAGCCAGAAGACAAAATGGAGCAAATGTATTAATTGTTACTATTACCACTTAATTTTTCTATTCTATACTGTAAATCTTATTACCAGCTTTATCATTTAATATTACAATACATCACTTTGTCTTTCCCAGCACAGATTACCTGACTGCGGCACACATTGTTGCAGAACTCTCTGCAAAAAGAACAAATACATCTTGCAGCAGGTTCAATATTAATAGAGCCAGTGTGTGCGATGGAGCAATCCGCGGCTTCAAAGGTGCCTCATTCGATCCCTCTCATGAGATGTCAGTTAAGTTCACTGATGATGAGGGACACACTGAGGATGGAGGGGACACTGGTGGTCCCAAGCGTGAGTTCCTGACCCTCCTTATGGAATGCCTGAGAATGCGAAGAAAACATCACGTCAGCAACTGTTTGTGCCCCATGGCGGCGTGACTTTCCAGCCGCTCACTGTCTCAAAATCTGATTCTAAATGTATAATGTTCTCTATAAAGATAGAACTAATACACAATTATGAATGTATAATATAAGCTGTTTTGTGTATTTAATCATGCATTGGTCTACAATTGAATGATGGCTTCTACATATTTCACATAAACAGACAATGAAAAAATGTGTCCTTCATGCTGATAACTAGTGTATGTATCTGCCAATTAGTATTCTAAACAGAGTAGTGTGTTGAATCCTTATGTCTTGCATTTGAAACAGATACAATAAAAAAAGTGAACTTACTGTTGTGTTCAACTTCTGTCAAAAACGGTACATGTTTGCCACAGGAGCCACAGAACACTTGAACTGTCCCCAGATGCTGGCCACAGAAAGGACACAACATGGCAGCCTGAAAAGACATACATTGATGTAGTAAATCCATTTAATCAAGTCAATCAAAAACACACAGTCTAAATAGTGGTTAGCTAAATAAATAGAAAGATACATCATGTTTACCGTTGAATCTGTGTTTTGTCTCTCTCTCTCTCTCTCTCCTTGAATGTCTTCTCTATAATTGTTCTTGAGCATGTCTAATGCACACTACTCTCCTGTCATTACTTTGTCCCTCTTCACATGTTGTCACTTCTCTTTCTCTCTCTCTCTCTCAATTCAATAGCTTTATTGTCATGACCATAGTTACAGGCAATTGCTAAAGCTCTGTATAGTTGCAACATCTATACACAAATACATACATATAAACAAACTGCTAAGAATTCAAATGTCCTTTTTCCGCGGTACTCACTATGGCCCGTGTTATTTGCCTGCACTTGATTTGTCATCTCTTTTAACAATGTTCTTCCCTCACTTTATCTTCTCTTCACGCGAAGCTCTCCTCTCCTCAGCTGGTGTAGAAGTTAGGCACGCTAACGCTAGCTATATAAATATGATGCTCTATGTATAAAAACAAACCGTACCTTCTAATATATCTTTCTCCAATTAAAACTTTCTTTCCTCCCGATTTCCATCACTCTTGTTCGTTCTCTCTATGTCTGGTCAGACATCAATCTGTTCCACGTAGCGCGCCCCCTAGAGGCCTGGAGCACTTCCGAAATGTTTTTTTTTGTACTTGTTTTGAGATTGTATGTGCGTTGGACGTTGCATATGGTTTTGGTATTTGCAGCGTTTTTTTGTTGCGTTTGTTTTCGGGGTTTGTGTGTTGTATTTAGTTTGTATCATTTCTGTAAATGCAGCGTTTTTCTGTTGTATTTGTATTCAGGGTTTGTTTGTTTTTCATTTCATTATTTGCAGGTGTTTCCTGCTTATGTATGCGTTTTGGGCCGTTGTTCCGCGTTTGCACCTGCCGGCCACCGTAGTAACTGTCTCGTAAAAAAGATTAAAAAGAGATGTTAAAATATCTGAGAATATACTCCATGCATTAGAGAATGTGCTACAATAATATTGTGCAAACCTTTGTAGTTACATTTTGAGTATGATGGTATTTTTATTGTTACAAATCCCAAAACCCATCAATATCCTAGTTTATCCCCCAAAACTTCAAAGCCTGATATTTCCTACTGAAAAATGTAAAACAGAACAAATCCATATAGTTTGTAATGTTAAAAAAAACACTCATACATTTCCTAGATTTGAGCAATTGTTACTCTCACGGGAGAAAATGTATGGGGACTATTTTCAGGGGTGTATTAATCTACAATTGCTGTTCAAGTGAGTATTTCTGGCAGCAGGACGGTGCGTGGACTTCAGCCAAAATAAACAACAGTGTGTGAGCCATAACAAAAAGAAACCTGTACCCTGTCCCAGCCCTGTCCCCTCTCCACACACACACACACACACACACCTTCCTCTCTTACCTCTCGGCCCTCCGCTCAGCAGTGCAGTCACCATGTGAGCGATATGGAGGTGGGGAGAGGGTCACAGCGGCCAGCTAATACTCCATATGTTTGATTAATGCCGTCTCTCCCTCCTCACCTCCACTCTCATCTTCTTTACCTCGCACGCCCTCCACCTGTGTCCACCTCCTACCGTTTACCCCATTCTTTATTAACTTCCGTCTTCACTTTCGTTGCCCTCCATGCTCTTTTGTATTATTTATTTAACTTTTAGTTTTGTTAATCTCTTTCTCTTCTCTCTCTCAGGACTATGTTCTGGCTGTGGAGACCTATCACTCCATCATCCAGTACGAACCCCAGCAGAGAGTGCAGCTGCTCAGTGGCATAGGACGCATCTTCTTGCAGGTCCGAACATTAACACACACACACATAGACACACACTATGCCACAGCACAGCTTGTGAACCCTTTAAAGCGACCCTATTATGCTCATTTCAGGTTCCTTTTTGTATGTTGTGCCTCTACTGTGACATGTTAATGTTCAAAAAGGTCTTTATTTTTCTCATACTGCCTGTGCTGCAGAACCTCTTTTCACCCTCTGTCTGAAACCAGAGCCCAGTCTGCTCATACAGTGACATTTTGCTAATTTGCTGTAATTTAGTGTAATTTTTGTTGTAGCAAGCTGGATGTTCCATTAAGGATGCATTTCATCTTACATAATAATACATTGCATATACTTTAATACACCTTTCATAGCGCAATTGGTATCCCTCCCAACACAGGGAAACATTTCTACTCAGGGATGGTGACGTTCATAACACTTACACTTACACAATAACTGCAATTACGCTATACAAATCAAGGAAGTAGTGTTCATTATGATGATTTTCTTGCTGAAGAAAACATGTAAGAATCATACGTTTGGCCACAGAGCTTATTTTCTATAATGAGACTAAATCCAATTTGCGTTCTGTTGAAGGAAACGGTGCTACTTCCTGTTCGGCCTAGAAAAAACATCAATCCTGCATCACTCTATTGTGCTGTACTAGATGGATATATTTGTTTTGTCATCATTATTACCTTCAGTAATGGTTCTGTATGTATTCTTAGCTGATGTAAGAAGTCTGCCCTGGGGGAACCTGAAATCTGATCTAATGTATTTGTGCTCACACACTCACACACACAGATCAGTGGTTAATGTGCTGCTGATGCTTTGTTCTCTGCCAGATCGGAGACGTTAAAACGGCAGAGAGGTACTTCCAGGACGTGGAGAAGGCGTGCCAGATGACAGGGAGCCAGCCCAGTCACACCACATGCGTGCTGATGAACAGGTACCAGAGAGTGGTCGTTTAGCACCCGCGCACACAGCATGTTTACTTTGCGCTGCTCAGGATCACTTTCACTCCACACAGCCGTTGTCCTTCAGGGCTGTTCGCAGGGCGGGGCTTCCCTCTGGTGTGTGATCTAGCTCAGGAGGTCACACCTTCTGTGGCTCTGGCCTGAGGACATGTGGAGTCTGAAGCAAACCTCCGGTGACACCTTATCTCACTCCCACTGGGTGCTCTGACGCTCACAAAGGCAGATGATAATATTAGAATCTGAATGGTTTATTTATCCCAGGGGAAATTTGGTTGCTCCATTTCAGAATGGAAACAAAAATGTTTTGAAAATAAACTAAGAATGTACAATAAAAATAATAAAGATAATTATATAGACATAGGATGTTGAGGTAAAATGTCCAATTAAAGATCAAATCTAATAAAATACAATAAAAACATATAGAAACAATAGAAGTTTAGTAAAAAAAATTGCACAATTCGAATAAATCACATTTAAGATATTTCAACTGAATTACCTTGATTTCAAAGGCAGCTGTGGATCATAAAATACATCCCACTAGCTAGCATGTTTTCATAGCAGCCTAGCATTGTTCTGCCTAGGAAGCAGCTCTACATGTCTCTAGAATGATGACCTATAGATTTAATATATAAAAATATGTAATAATAACACATTAATATAGTATATCAATTTATTTATTTGATGTGTATTTTAACATGGCATTTCACAAATATGATCAATACACACTACTGTTTGTTGATGTATTAACTGTTTGTTTGTGTGTGTGTGTTTTCCAGGGCCTTTGTCTCCCTCAGTCAGAACAACTACACTGAAGCACATGCATCCTTCACTGAAGTCTTAAAAATGGACCCAAAGAACCCCGTTGTAAGTGCCACCATGTCTTTTCCTCTACAGCAGCTTTAAAGGTCCCATGTCATGGCCATTTCTACTGATCACAATTCCATTGTTGAGGTCTACTAGAATAGATTTATATTGTGCAATTTTCCAAACTCACATTGGTTTCTCATACAGCATCTCTGTAAAGTATGTGTATTCACTCTCTGTCCTAAACGGCTTGTTGGAGATCCTGCCCCCCCCTCCCTGTGAGCCCAGTAGCCGTCTGCGAGACAGCGAGACACCGCGGAACTCAGCCTGGGCACACACACACACACACCCGCAGCCTGGCTGGGAGTTTGTGTGTGTGCCCAGGCTGAGTTCCGCGGTGTCTCGCTGACCCCACACCAGTGAGCCAGCTCACAGTGTCCCGCTCCTCGCAGCAGCGAGCCTCGTCCCGCCGAGTGTGTGTGTGTGGGGAAGTCCGCGGATTGGTCCAAACGTAACGGCTCCACGGACGTTACGTTACGTCACTATACCCGAAATACGTCACTATACCCAGGAAGAAAACAATGGAAAAAGAGAAATCTCCAACGAGGCGTTCTGGGGCAGCATAGACAGGTATTTTCTGTGTTACAGTTTTACTCGCTACAGGGTGTACTTTGAGGGTTTTGACTCTGCACACCATTTACATGCATACAAACCTTCATAACACACAAGGGGATGGGTAATAACCGGAAAAGCATGACATGGGACCTTTAATGACCCACATTAAGTCGAAGTCAAATATAAAGTTGCTCTGTAAACAACGTCTGTAAAATATCAATCAAAAACACATTTATTTTTTTAATTCATTTATTACGTTATTATTTGAACAAACATGTAATCCGTCATTCCCCTGTCAGTGATCTATTAATTTTACCCAGAAAAGCCTGGTTGAATATGAGCTCTATAAATCAATCAGTGATCATCCCTCTGGCGTTTAATAATGATGATTGAGATACCGCGGCAGTGATGGATTACAGATGCAGGTGATGAGTTAGTGCTATGGGCTCTATAAATAGCCACCGCCCGGTAATGACAGCTGTTCCCGTGCTGATGGAGAACCTCGTTGAAGCAACACAATCTGGGATGTTTTAGTTCCTCCTCATCGTTCTTCACCCTGATGGGTCTAATAAGTGATGGAGCAGGCCAAAGTATCAACATATTAAGGGTGTTTCGACTTCGATTTACTGCAAACTGTAGAGTTCAAGCTTGTGCCGAGCGCTACAGTTTTTTACAGATTTATAAAAAAGAATCAGAATACCTTTATTAGTCCCACAGAGGGGAATTGTACGTTACAGTAGAAAAAGAGCCACAGACAGCTTAATGTTACATGCATTAAAAAGTAATCAGTTCAAAAACAAGTTATGATATAATAAAAAATATAATAAAAAATAAAAGGTCACACAATTTACAAAATACACATCCTGTAACAGTTCTTAGGATTTAGCAGCCAGGTATATTACACAGTTATTAACGGCATATATATATATATACATGTGGTTTTATCAATCTGGCAAAAACAATGCCTATATTTTTGTCTTAATGTGTAGAGACAGTTTTAGTTGAGATTCCCTATGATCTGGCCCTGTGATTCAGGCACTAAAAATAAATACTGAGATATTCTGCTACGTAACAAATGTAATACTGCAATGTAGAAATACTCTGTTGCAGGTCAAACTCCTGCATTCAATACCTTACTTAAAGAGGACATACTTTGCTCATTTCAGGTTTCATAATTGTATTTTTTGCCTCTACTGTGACACGCTTCAATAATCAAAAAGCCTATAATGTACGATGTGTTGGAGCGTTAGCCAATAGAAGCGTGAGTGTTACATAGTGATGTCACTATAGAAGGGAAGTTTAAAAAAAAAAAGGAGTCCAATGGAGGTGTTTCAGTGGGAGTGAATGGGTGAGAAACTTCCTCTGGAGGGAACTTTGGAAGCCCTTGCAGATCATTTACATGTACAAAAATCTTTATCAAACACTACAGGAAAGGGAAAACCCCTATTTATTTTAGGACATCTTTAAGTAGTTCATCCTCTTAATCTAAAAATAATACATTTTAGCTTATTTGTCGATAATATTCTACTCTAATAATCGGAATCTGGGGAGTAAAATATATTTGCCATTGACATATAGTAGAGTAGATATATAAAGTAGCAGACAATAGAAATGGTAAAAAGTAAATCATTTTAATAACTGTACACTACTTGACAAATTGCACTACTTTTCACCACTGGAGCCAGAAGGTGCTTAGCTTAGTTCAGCTAAATGTACCTTGGCTTAGCATAATGAATGAAAGCAGTTAAAGCAGCTCCAAAAACAAAAATCTGCCTACTAGCACCTCAGTTTCAAAGGGTTACTTTAGCATTTATATGGAAAGATGCATATTTGGAACTCTACAATTACTGTAGCTCACCCCAGTAAATATAGTTAAATACTGGATGGAAGAATGATGATTTACACTCTCCCGTCCTCATTCCCTCCCTCCCCTCCCCTCCCCTCCCCTCCCCTCCCTTGTTCCCAGGCCAACAACAACGCAGCGGTATGCCTGCTCTACCTGGGCTGTCTGAAGGAGTCCCTGGGCCAGCTGGAGGGCCTGGTGCAGCAGGACCCCGCCCTCTACCTCCACGAGAGCGTCCTCTTCAACCTGACCACTATGTACGAGCTGGAGTCGTCCCGCAGCACCCAGAAGAAGCAGGCTCTGCTGGAGGCCGTGGCCTGCAGGGAGGGGGACAGCTTCAACACGCAGTGCCTCAAGCTGGTGTGAGAGGACACACACATCAGCATCACGTGTGACCGGAATACAGCAGCAGGAGTAGAATGTTTAGAGGAGTGGACATTTGGAGAAAGAAAGTGAGTGTGTGAAAGAACTGGTTTTATTTCTACAAAACAGAAGTGGGAAGCCCAAAGACATTTCTCTTCATGTCATGGCACTTCTCTCCTTTTGTAAGGTGACCCTGTAATGGTGGTGGAATGACATTCCGGAAAAGAAATGACCCTACATTAGTGTGGAAGTAGTTTTATTTTACAGTTAAAGGAACAGCTTGACATTTAGAGAAATACGCTAGATGAGAATATTCATACCACCCGTGTTTGCACCCTTAATATTAAGCTAACTAAAAATGTCTGTGATAATGCAATTGCAATATAGAAACCTTTTTAAAGTTTAAAGCCTCATTGTAGGAAGACTTATTTGTTTTCCAGTGACAGCAATGTTAATATTTATTAAGCTAACCTTGTAATGTCACTCGAGAAAAAAACAAAAACATTTTATAGGCTAGCCATTTTCCCCTAATTGCTTTCTTTGTGCTAATTTAAGCTAACAAGCTAAGCTAACAGGCTGCTAGCGTCATAGCTAGCATGTGGTATAGTTATTCTCCTCTACATATAGTAAGTACTTAAGTATTTCTCAAAATGTTAAAATGTTCCTCAACATTTCTATCAAATATTTTCTGGACACTGAGGAATTATGAGCATTAAGCGTTGTGAGATTGGAAGCGAGACCTCAGATGAACATTGCACTACAGATCGGCAGTGGTTTTAAGGGAGCTGCAGACTCATAATGTGAGTCCTGACACGGGCATTATCCTGAGCTTCAGTATGCTTAAAGACTAATAAAGTACCACAGAGGTCCAAAGCTTCCTCCCCATCAGACACCTGTACTGCTGGATTAACAGTCCAACACCACTCCATTTCAGCTGCCAGCTTTATTAACTCAGAACATAGATAAGCCCTTCTGATTGCATCCCATCCTGTTCACTCAACTGTAACATATTAAGAATCAAAATGTGTACATATCAGATTTTTTTTTCCTTCTTCTGTGATTTATATAAAAATGATTGTCTTGTTAAATCTTTTATTGATTTATCCTGATGGATATTTAACTATCACTGTTTACATATTGTGTTGATCATATTTATGTATATTAAATTGTGTTTTATCTGAAATAAAAAACGTATTTTAAAATCAATTTGTCTCGTCAGATCATAAAGAAACAAAGCACATATTGAAAATAGCAGCAGCTTTATTATCCATACAACAAAAATGTATATAAATCTGTCAGAAACCACTCCATTGGTGCGGAGAAGAACCTCAAGTGACATCTAAATTCTTATTTAAAGGTTTGAATATAAAATCAGTAAATAATGCAGATTAGTGGAATATTTCAACATGCTTCTCTGAGATTACAAGGCACTCGAGATTGTCCTGTGCTAAAACAAGTATTTCACCCTAAATAAGTGACGAATGACCCCTTTGAAATGTTACATAAAGTATGTTGATTTATGTTACATAAGTTATTGTCAGTCATTCCATTTTAATGTAGCTGCTTACTATGATGCTAATCCAACTTTTGTGGTTGCTTTGACAATAATCAATTTAAGCTAGGATAACATTTCACAGTTTAGCAAAGCTATAGCTTTTTAGCTAGATGTAAATCTAGATGTAGTCATGTAAACCAAAATGTAAATAGAGTAAGATGGAGGAACCTGTGGGTGCATTCTTTGTGGTTGGGTAGTGTATGTCAGTACACAGAATATAAAACACATTACGATCTAATCATGCGTTTCATCTGCAGAATCATAACTACTAACAAAAAGTAGAAGGATTCACTGGAAAGAGAAAACCCACATCCACGATTTTCTAAATCTAGGAAGCATCTTGGTGCATGATTTTGGCTAGAGGAGATCTTAAATCATCCACAGTATGATTCTTAATAGGGCGACTGTGGCTGCGAGGGAGTGCGGTCGTCTTTCAACCAGAAGGTTGTGGGTTCGATCCCAGCCCATGCAGTCAACATGTCGATGTATCCTTGGGCAAGATACTTAACCCTGAGTTGCTCCCGATGGCATGGCCAACGGTGTGTGAATGTGTATGCATGTTAGGTCCTAGAGTAACATACACTGCTCTGTGTGAATGGGTGAAAGACATGTATGTAAAGCGCTTTGAGGTCTTAAAGACTGGATAAAGCGCTATATAAATACAGTCCATTTAACATTCTAACTGTAAACTCTACAGAATCACAATAAAGGCCCTGATTCTGGTGGCAGCAGTGTTCATATTTGATCCACGTTTCGATGAATGGCACAGTCCCCTCTCAGCATCCCTGCAGAGATGTCACATACTTCTTGCGGATGTCAGAGTCATCAGCGGGCCGGTTATACGCTTTCCACACCGGCTCCCCCACAAACAGCCTCATGGCTTTGGTGTAGTTCTGTAGAGACAAACAGAGAGCAGGTCAGTCAGAAGGACAGCTCTGCCTCCCCATGTTAGAAAGAGGGTTAGGCTCTAAATGTAGTGTTAGTTAACAGTGAGGTAATAGTAGCTGAAAATGCATGTGTTTGGGAAGTAGTAAGCATACATAAGAAATGACATTTCTACTATACTCTACAAGCTGTTAGAATGTATGGACAGACAATGTGATGCAGTTTTCTATTGTTCTCTGTATTGTTTTCTCTGTTCCAGGTTCCTTCATTCACCATCGGGCTATGTGATGATAAAATGTGTTTTCTTCAAGAATTCAAGGTAACACCGGGTGATAAACAAATGGTAATTTTGCGGGTAATGTATTCCTTTTTTTGCAGTTTAAAAAAGGAATTCAGGATTAGAAACCAACACCCTAAAAGAAAAAAAACGGACACAGTTAATCTCAACGTGAACTTCCTGTATGTGGGAAATAAATAAAAACAAAGCTTCACATGCCATTTGCAACAGTTATTACAACTCTGATAGTACTAACACATCCCATAGTCGCCACACTTAGACAAAAGAGAAATGCATGTAGAATATTGGTAAATGAAATGCATTAATAATGACACATTTCATATGTTTGGTAATATAAATGCTGTTTGCTAACTTTTGTTTGTATAATGCTGTTTGAAACACACCAGGTGGATGGCTATCGATATTCTCTGTACTCTTAATCTTTTCAAATGTATTATTTCATTTCTCCACAGGCCTTATTGAAATTCTAGCTCATCTACAGCTCCTAATATAAGCAAAATGCAGGTAACTACTTGCAATGGTAATACTTGTCCATAACATTTATGTAGGATACGTACAGTCTCATCCAAGGTGAAGCGGTGGTAGATGCCGGCCGGCAGGGTGATCAGGTCTCCTTTTCTCATGGCGATCCGGATCCACCGCTCCTCCTGGTCCCTGACGTCGAAGTAGGCCTGGCCGTCCAGGATGTAGCGGATCTCATCATCCAGGTGCAGGTGCTCCTCGAAGAACCTCTTCAGCTGAGCGCAGACATAAAGAGAGAGATAGGCCTGAATTTCGAGACAGTTCAAGTACTAGCTGTCCTAATGTGTTATAGCCGTCACCACTGACTGAGAACAATGGTCATTTAAATGTCATAAACCACTGTAGAGCATTGTACTAATTTCCACAGGTCATAAAATCTTCTAATGCAGTGCAGACATTTAACTTCAATCTAGTTCAAATGAAGAGTCCTTTCTGACTATTTAACAGTTTCATTATTAGAGGAAAGCGTCTGGTTTAAAATACACAGATATTACAATGCTTTGTTACCTTTTCCTCATAGTTAGGAAGTATGTCCTTGTGAATGGAGATTATGTCCATATAGGAATAGCCCTGGTCTTTACGGATCTTCTCCAGCTCTGGGTCTGTTTCGTAGATATCAGCATTCAGCTGCAAGAAAAAGACAACAGCTTTGATCAGTAAACAATTGTAACCAAAATCATTTATCATTTGTTACACATCACAACAGCAAATCCCATGCTAGCAGTCTGGGAGTCTTATGTAATGGTAATAGATTCGTTAGAATAATGAATGGGGCTGGCTAGCAGTATGAAATAAACTGCAGTAACTTGAAAAGAACAACTAATTTCTGTGTTTTTTTTTTACCACATGACAGATTCTAATGCTTGGCCACTGGTTATAATATCTATAAAGAATCTAAATCTGGGGGGATCTAGTAGGATTTGTAGTAGATTCATTTATTAACATGAATTAATTAACAGTAATACATTTTCCACATTTCTACTTTATTCTCGAAATTGCATTAAAACCTGAATATAACTTTATTCTCCTCATTTCGACTTATTTTTTTCGTTTTCCTTCTTAACATTTCAATTATATTCTCAACAGTTTGACTTTATTCTTGTGATGGTTTAACTTTGAATGTATAATCACTATAGTTGTTCATATTTATTCTCGACATGTAGGCATCCCTCTCGAAATGCAAAAACAAAACATCTCTTTATTTTTGTTATGCTTGTTGTCCCAAACGCTCATAGCTTACTGGTATGAATATACAGTCTATGGTATGAACTCAATAGTTTAATAACTACAACAACAATATCGTTTTTTGTCCCTAGGAAGTCGCTGAAAAACACAATCTTTTTGTAACCTGAATAACTGTTCACAGACATTCTGTTAGGGATTCAACTCGGCGTCAAATCAGTTGTACTTGTTTAACTTAATCTGTTCACTGTTATGTTGGAACGTTGGAACCTGAAGGCAGCAGCTGAGCTGACAGGCTGTAACGTTCACGTACCTTCCAGTGAAACACCCCGAGCTGCCGTAGTTCTTCCAGAGAGACGGGCTGGTCCGGGGTCAGTTTATGAGGCTTCCTCTGGTCCTCCTCAGAGCTGTCCATGAACCAGGCTACTAAACCCATGCTGGAGATTAACACTGGCACCTTATTAATGCTGGACTTCTGCAGAAAACACACACACAACTCCTCTTCTTCTTCGTGGGACTAACTGGCGGGTCTAAATCACACTAAAAGTCAGATAGCGCCACCTACTGTATCGGAATGTGATGTGAGTTATGGCTTTATCTTTTCTGAAAACTGTGACTGTCAAGAAAGAAAGAAAAATCAGAGTAAGAAATAAATAAATAAAGAGAGAGGAAGAAAGGAAGAAAGGCAATTTAAGATTGACACACTATTTTCTATCATATCTGTATTATAATTGACCAACCCCTGTCTAATTTCCCTGTACTGTGTGTCAGACTGCAGCTTCACCAACGTTAGTTGTAATTGTATTATTCATTCTTTTAAATGTTTTTGTTTTTGGTATACAAACACACACACACACACACACACACACACACACACACACACAATGACACATGCTGCTTTAATGTTAGCATTACTTAATCAGTGGGTTTGGTGATGAGGAGGCATGCAAACAGGTATGCTAATGTGCATGATAACTCTAAAGTTATGATACAATTAACTTTGGGGTAGCCAAATTACAAACACACATGGTCATTTAATTTGATTAGTTTGCTACCAGAGGCGTTAGTCTGGTGAAGTGGGACCAGAGTGAGTAGTTACTGCTCTCATGTGTTCATTGTGAAAAACTACAACTCTGTAAGTCTTAGAGTAAAAATAATTCAAAAATATCAATATTACTTAATATTTCATTATGTGGTGAACATTTAAAGAAAAAGTGTCATTTAATACAAATTTGAAAATATCTTATATATACTTATACTATCATATACTATGCCAAAATGAAATATAAATATTATAAATGCCATTAAAAGTACTAATATAGTTTGCAAAAAAAGTTGTGCTATAGTATGTCATAACAAATTGCATGGTGTTTAAAAATACAACAGCTTTATAGTATAGTAGGCTATGCCATAAAATAAACAAATATGAAACAAATATTACCTAAATCGTTTTTTTAAATCATGGTATTGTATGTCAATACAATGGCATTATCTATTTCATGTCAATACAATGGCATTATTTATTTAAAACTGATCTTAAGACAAATCCACTGAATTCAATATGACATGACTACAATATGGTATTGTATTGACATACAATACCATATCATATTGTAGTCATGTCATTTAACAAGTTATTTAACCGTGTTAAATAAATAATGCCATGTTGTCTTACTAACGACGAAAAAGCACACAAAAAACATAAATAATTCAACATAAAGTAGATTTTATTATAATATTTACAGGTGTCAACCTTATTTCAGCCCACTTTAAATTATGATAGACATTGACACACTCACCTTTATGTGTTGCAAGACTGTTATTTATACCAAAACCTGCTTCTACAGCTCAATAAAACACCTAAGCCCTGCTAATACTTAGCACACAACAAGCTAAGTTTGGCTAATGTGCTTACTATAAAGCAAATAATTACATACCATTCTATTTCTGGCACCACAGGGAGCCATAGACCGACAAATATCATGAGCTATTTTAAGCATCTCATATTTAATTATTTAAGCATCTGATTACCACAGGTCAGATAGAGTGTTGCCATAATTAATTAAGGAAGAAATCCTATTAACTCTATTCATGCCGTGCTAGATTTACACTGAAAAAACTGAAACGTTGACCTTAATTAAATGTATTATGTCAACACATTTCACATAAATGTATTAAGTTAGTTGAAAGCAATAATATTAAAGGTCCCATGACATGCTTTTCCGGTTATTACCCGTCCCCTTTGGGGATAGCTTTTTATCACCCAGACCCCACGCAGCATTCTCATCTGTTTGTCCTTACTGGTGTCATTTTCTGGTAGCTAACAAACGCCATTGTAACACATAATCACTGATGTTCCGCTGTAACGTGGTGGACTCATCAGAACAGAGTGGGCGAGCTGACCAATCAGAGCAGTGGGCTCCCAGGGAGGGGGGGGCAGGAGCTCCAACAAGCCGTGTAGGACAGAGAGTGAATACACATACTATACAGAGATGCTGAATGAGAAACCAATGTGAGTTTGGAAAATTGCACAATATAAATCTATTCTAGTAGACCTCAACAGTGGAACTATGATCAGTAGAAATGGCCATGTCATGGGTCCTTTAAATTTGTGTGGTGTTCGGGTCAAATTGACCCGATTTCCATTTTCAATGAATACAAAAAAATATAAGGATATTTTCGTTCAACCTGAAACTCAATGGCCGGGGCTTATTTATTGTGAAGGACATGTGGAATTGTTTTTATTTTTTTCCACTTATGAAAAAATGCCCACCCGCATTTATGTCCTTCATAAGGGGTTCGGGTCAATCTGACCCGGATACAATACCAGGACAGAGAGACAGAGAAAAACACACAGAAACACACAAACTAAAGACACACACACACACACACACACACACACACACACACACACACACACACACACACACACACACACACACACACACACACACACACACACACACACACACACACACACACACACACACACACACACACACACACAATTGTATGCATAGAGAAGCTGTTTGATCCTGTTTTCCCTTGATCTTTACTCTTTGTAGTGTGTACACAAAACTATCCTAGAACATTATAAACGTTTTAGATCTTCCAGAAATGTATAAACATTTTACATTTGCTCGCACTGTCCCCCCTCGCACCTGCATGCCGGAGGAGGGACTAAACAGAGACATAACCTCAGTGTAGTAACAGTGTAGTGCAGAACTACAATGATCTACCAGCAAAATGGCCAAAAGATATTCTGCTCAGAGCCTTGGAGCTAATAATGGATGAGAGTGAGTGAAATGCATTAGAGGAACACGGTGAAGTGGGACAGGAAGACATTTCTGAAGATGTGGAGGTAAACTCAGAATTTGACAGCAAATTGGAAGATGAACTTGACTCAGAGCCAGCTTCTGGAAGACCCCCACAGCCAGCTGTGAGGTCTGTGGACCCTCAAAGGACTCCAAGACACAGACTACATGCAGCAACTGCAACAAGTACATCTGTGCTATACACACGAAGAAGTTCTGCACATCATGTGTTTCCTAAACAGACTTGCCCATTGACTCACATGATGTTCTGCAGCGTCACTTCATCAATATGTTTTTCGGATATACTGTATTTTATGAATAGTGACTGTTAATTGTTTTTATTTGCTTTGTGTTTATATCTGTTCTATGTAATCTATATGGATGTTTCATTCTCTCTATATTTATAAATACTTTTGGATGTGGTTCTTGTGTTCCAATTGCTGCTAAATTGCTTTATTTCCTTCAGGGCTTTGATTACTATATGACAGATTAAAAATAATAAACATTAATGAAAAAATGTTTCATTTACATTTGTCCTAGAAAAGCATGAGCAAAATGTAAACTTAGTTTTTATTACAGTGTATTTTTTTTTTATACATAAATTACATTTTTATCACAAAAAACGATGGACAATTCCATTCTTAAATTTGATCTAGCAAAGAGTATTTTCAAAAACTAATCATATATTTCATTTATATTGTTGGGGAATGAGTTAAAGACAATATATATAAGGAATTGTGCATGTTGAATTTAGTTCTGTATTTTTTTAAACCCTGAAATATGTCCCGGGTCAATTTGACCCGAACATTACCAAAGGTTGCGAAATGTGAACATAACACAAGGGATCATTAAAACAAATGTTGGTTCAACTTAATGATTGCCCTCAACTAGCCTAATACAGTAATGTGAAAGTTGTTGACATAAATGTAATTAAAGGCAATGGTTCAGTTTTTTCAGGGCCTGCAGCTGTGCGCCCGCAAATCCGTTGTTTGGATCAGAGGTTTATTTTTCATTCTGTTAAGAGGCTCTTGTGAAAATGTATGTGTATATTCATTTGCAAAAATGTGTAGCCATCGTAATCATTTATATGTCAGAGTAATAAACAAAATTGGTGCAGGCGAGACCTTAAATGTAGGATAAGTATGACTCAGGCCTATGCAACTTATGTTTACTGTACTTTTTCCTCACTATTCTTTGTGTTCCTTTCCTAAGAAGCTACATTTTAATTTTCATAATCTAGCCAAATTAACTATATAAAGCTTGTTTATACTTCTCATTTAATCCAATTAATGTGTATTACACACTGGTGTATTCAAATTTATTTTCATCCAAGGCTTTTTAAAATCCCTCATTTATTCATACAACCGGTTTTGTATTTGTGTGATGTAATGAAAGGCTACTTTACAAATAGTATGACGCAGCTTCTTCAGTGTGTCCTGAGGTGGGAATCACAAGGCGAGACACAGACAGAGGGGATCGAACATTTATTTACCCTTATTAAAAGTTACAATAAAACCATTAACATCCTCAAACGATAGCAAAATAAAAAGAGAACCAAAAATATTGGCCAAAACATATTTACAGAGACAGTTTGCAGATAAAAAGCTCACATTTTGTACACAACCCCAACATCATAAACTCTGAAATGTGAACACTGCAATGCTCAAGAAGCTTGAATGTGGTTTTAGCCAGAAAAATAATCAAAAAGCACGAACAAAGACATTGCTCTTTTTCCATCTCCCCTTCCTCGGTTTTTACTTTTCTATACATGACAAAATACTTGAAATTTGGGGCTAAAACAAAGGAATGTAGAATTCTAAAAGTTAATGAGATCTTTTGAAAGGTTTATGTGTCCATATAACAGTCATTTCGAGTGAAGGAGATGGTCTGCCTCGATCCGCAACAGTGACAATTTTTTAGATCCCAAAAAGATGAGAAAGAAAAACAAAATGTTATAGGGCTGCCACGCTGTTAAAAAGGATGCTTCTCCATGAATTGGGAAAATAAGTCAGTATTCCTGATTCGCTCCACATCCAATCCATTACCTTTGCCACACGCCTGTCCCTGTGTGTACCATGAGGGGGCGACACACGCCGACGCTTTCATCATGAGAGGGCCCGGTGAGATTCCGTCTGTCGAAGAACTAATAAAAAGGCAGTGAACTGGTGGTTGAATCAGCAAACGTGATATATCCTTTGTCTTCTCTTCTAGTTTTGTTTATAACTTTAAGAACGTGG